GGTCTTTTTGGCCATTTTAGCGCACAGAGAGAGAAGAAGGGTTCGAAGACAGAGGTTAGCGGGAAATGGGGAAACAAGATAAACTAGGTATAGAGTACCGTTAATCCACCTGACTGGAATCTCTAGCTTATATCCTTATTATTCCACTCTAACAATAGTTAGTAAATACTTAATCGAATAATAAAGATTTATTTTGATATTCATAGGGTCAAATTTAATTCATTTTTTGATCTATTTTCGTGTCTTATTTGATAAAATAATATGTTAATGTCATATCTAGTTTGATAGATCTTTTCATATAGTTTTTAAATATATATTTTTTATATTTTAATTCCATATAATTTTTTATATAAAATAATTTGAAAATGACTTCAGTCAAACATCATAACGCACAACAGTCAAACTTTGCTTTTAAATCCAAGAAAAAATATATTGCATATTAATTTTGAAATCCAAAAGCAAAGTGTTTTGGGAATCGTAAAAGTTATAGTTGAGTGAAGAATAATTAAAAATCAAATGTAGATGTGGGATAATATTTTTATATTGATGTATTATATTAAATGTCGAATTAAGATGTTTTAGTTGTTGTTAATGAAATTTTAAATTTTTTAATTTAATTTTTGGTAGTAAAAGTTCGATAAATTTGCATGGTCGATTCTAATAGTCGTAGAAGAATAAAGTAATCAAATGTTGATATTAATTACTTCGTATTTAAAAATTGCATGTTCAATTTGATATTCAAATAGAAGTAGAAATGCATAAAGATAAACAAAATTGAAACTCGGTATATTTTAAGTTCACCAAACATGTATTTTTGTAACTTGGTATCTTAGACAACAAAATTTATTTTTTTTCTCGCCAAACATGCCCTAAGTATATAATGGATGCTTTTGGAAAGAGTTAACATTTTGAAGAAATGACCTAACGTCATGGTTCAAGGACTAGTTTGGCATCAACGTTAGAGATGAGGGCTGGCGTTTTGAAAAGATTATCTGACGTTAATCTTTAGCGTTAGCGTTTTCAGAATTAATCTGCATCATTAAGATTTTATCCAAAATGCTAATGCTAATCGGAAATGATATTTTCAAACAAGGCCTAAGTGTAATATTTTCAGGTCTCAAAAAAAGTGTAATATTTTCAGGTTTAATAATGTACCAGGAGTATATACTTTTAAAATTTTATTCTAAAGCACTTTCGGAGTGTCTCGAATAAATTACACAATTGATCACCTACACTTAAGTACTTAACAATACTTCACATGCACTTAATTCACTACTTGATGAAAGTCTATTAAAAGTCCATATTGGCCCCGTTTGGCATCAGCGGCAGAGATTAGCTTTAGCGTTTTGAAAAAGCTATCCGACGGTAGCCTTTAGCGTTAGCGTTTTCAGAATTAATCTGCATCGTTAAAATTTTATTCAAAACACTAACGCTAATCGAAAACGCTGTTACCAAACAAAGCCATTAATTGTGAATATTTCCGATTTTAAACACTAATATTATAAATGTCAACTAAGGTTTTTACAAACTTTGGATTATTCATACTTTTAATCATTTGTTAGGCACTGTTTGAGAATAATACTTTTTATTAACGTTAGTTTTTTTAATAAAATTTTAATGGTGAAGAATAATTTAAAACACTAAAACTAAACATATTCTGCAATATAACTTTTTTAGCTAATTTTAACTTTCCCCTTGGACTTATTAGAGTCTCTTATACTCCGTATAAATGTTTGATCGTCTCTTTAATGTACTCTTTCAGTTTCATTTCAATCCTTTTCAACTTCTGTTACGATATTTGATCCATTTTCTTTTTACTTTAATTTATTTAATTATAGGTGTAAAATCAAAAAATGTTTATCCTTTCTGTCATTGATAATGTCATCCGCATTTTGGCTCTCCATATTTTCGATCTCTTCCATCCTGATTTAAGTTGTTTGTTATTATTCACAAATTCAAATTTTACTTACGTTCTTCACTTATTGAAAAATAATATGAAATATAATATTGTCACCTCTTGTTTTCTAAAATTTTTTATGTACTCCATCCGTTTATCAAAATCCTTCATCTTTCATTTTTTTCTCTTTCATCAAAATATTTCTACTTTCTATTGAAAAATCATTTTACCTTCACTAACTCTTAGAGCAGATCGTGGTAATACCCGTGAAACCCCGAGGCTTCAAACCTTTTCATTTTTAATACACTTCTTCTAAAATTAAATTAAATAAAACTTCATTTTAATTAAATTTAAATGACAATAATATATTAAATTTAAAAATTACATTCAATAAAAAAGAACATTTAATAAAAAAATATTAATAAAAAACTAAGGCAAACTATATTTAGCCTTGATCTCTTTTTGTCTTCTCTCGTAAATCATACGTTTGAAGTTTGATAATGTATCAAGCTGTAAGGTCGATTTCCATTATTTCGATCTCTTCTTCTCTCGCCTTCGTTTCTCCCTCTCTTCTTTCCTAATATTGAACCCTCACAGTTGTTCAACCATTACTGATCAATTTCATCGTGAGAGGAAATAGAGCCGGACCCCCAGAACCCAAGGCAATGGATTTTGCCTTCTTCCTTCTAATCAACCGTGTAATGGGGTCCTCATTATTGGAGTCGTCTAGGTTGAAGGGAGACCTTTGTTCCAAAGAGTCGATAGTCTCATCTGCCTCAACCTCGGCGGATAATCTTTTCTTTGACGATCCGGACTTGGGGTTGTTAAGTTGTTGCCATTTTGATTAACGGCTTAAATTCTCCAAAGAACTGTTGGATTTTTATAAGGAAGAACACTTTGAAGCAGTGTTTAAAGAAGAACTCAATAGTATAACGAATCGCGTACGAAACGCTATCAGATCAAAGTTATTTAGGGGTATACAAAATATTTCAATCGTATAAGATGTTAATCAAAAAACGAGCACTCAAGAATCCGGTCCCTCAACCCATACCACGAGACTCTATTTTATAGAGTCGAAAATCCTTGTGATCGGACATGAACGTTCGCGTAGATGTACGCGTACGTTCGCGCGAGGAAGAAGAGAGGTGCGAGTTTGAACGAAAGGTCTTCTGCGGTTTAAGGCTCAATTTTGACGTTTATCCATTGTGTACGAGTCCTTTACCGTTTTGGACTCCGGTCACGAAAATCTTCGACTTCGGCCAGGGGCTCTGCCCCTTGGACCCCGCTACCCGGGGGCTGCCACCCCCGGACCCCACAGTGAATTTATAATATCGCTGAACGAGCGCGCACTCCGCGCCTCCTAACTCGTTTGACAACGTCTATTTAAATTTTTGTCCGATCGAAGTAAATCCAATTACACAAAATAAATTGATGACACTAAAATCACCAACAAGAATGATGGTGACTTTGCCTTGGTGTACGTCATCTTGATGCCGGGCGGGTGCTTGTCATAGAACACTAACATTAATCGAAAACATTATCTCCAAACAAGACCTATACGGACAAAAAATCGGTATAAGTAAAGAGTTCCATACAATACAAATTTTATGAAAATGATTGGGTAGGGTGTTCACACAATAATATACTCCCTCCGTCCCTAAATGGATTACAATTTTTTCTCTCTCTCCTCTCGATAACTTTTATTTGTTTACGCGATTTCATCAAGTATTTTATAAAATAAAATATTCTTATCACCTCTTGTTTTGTAGAACTTTTGACGTAGTTTTTTAATATGTAACTTTTATATATCTTATTGATATACCAATTTATAAATAAAATGATTTCAAAAAGTAAAAAATTTTACTCCGTAACTCGGAATTTGAAATAAAAAATGGGACGGAGAGAGTAGTACTAACTGATGGACTATGGAAACTCAAGTCTAAAGTAACTAGACAGAGAAGAGATAAGAACAAGCTAGTGAAATGGAATGAAGATATTCCTTGTATAAATGCTAGATTGTTAATGATGGCTTTTTAAGATGTGTGTGTGATGAATGCTAGATTGTTAATGATAGCTTTTTAAGATGTGTGTGGGGAGGTATAAATAGGGATGAACTAGGGTTAAAGTTTAGGGCCAACATACATCATACATGAATTAATCAATGGGTCAATCCAATAGATTGGACCGTCCTAACTATCACTATGCTATTACGCTTGTCCCGGCGATCGAAGACAAGGCCTGCGACCGTGATAGGTGAGGTTCCTAAGTCGGGCTCCAAGCTATCTTCTGTAGGTTGAATACCCCCACTTTAGATTATCCATCAATAACCAATTTTTTCCCATTTTTTTAGAGTAATAAAAAATTTTCGTCATTGAATAAAATGTACCCAAAAAAATTGTTCGTGATAAAATATGCATTCTAGATGTTTACATATAGAAAATGTCCAAGTATACCATAAAAATTATGAAAAAGGGTTGCAGTATACCGACAAAATATTGGTATGACTAATAATGCGATACAATACATATTTATACATGTCAAAAGATTTGCTTTGTTCAGTTTTTTTTATGTACACGGTGAGTTTGATATTTGGGCATTTCAGAGCTTTTTCTATCCATAGTTATTATATCAAGAGTTCAAATTTATAATTTCGTTTACTTCGACTTTAGATTATAAATTTGTTTTTTTAAAAAAAAAAATCTACTTCATATTTAATAAGTAACATTACACATAACAAAAATAAATTTGTTTTGGCATAACTAATGCAACATGAACAAGAGGCAAGGCATTTTGAGAAAGCCAACAATTTTACCAATGCATTTTATTAAAATGCGTGTTCGATCAAATATTACTCATAGAAAAAAGGTGCTAGACAAAGTATGATTCATCTTGAAAGATATTAGTATTTTTGATGTCATATTTTATTAAAATGGTTTATATTTAAATATAAACATTGATAATCATTGAAATTCATAAAGTATCATATAGAACCGTACTCGAGGATTGAGTGTAAAAGAGCGACCTAAAATCACAGGGTATTATTGAGTTTATTTCTATGTAGAAACAATAAATTCTATTATTGGTCCGTTTCAATCGAGAATTTTCCTTATCTAGTGCTTTATTATCAAACATTACGTTCGCAGTCCATTTATGGGTACATTTCCATAAATAATCATTTGCTTGACCTTCTATATATTGTTGATAAACTAAGGGTTCAAAATATGACTTCATATCGACCAGAAGTACTGAATGTATAAAAAACAAATTGCAAGACAAGTACTCTTGAATCCCATCCCTCCAAAATTTCATTTGCATGTGTCTATAGAAACAGAAGGAAAAGAGTGAAATGGCAAACAAAACGAGAGAGAAAGATGCCATGAAAATAGAGCTCAACGAATTCTAGTTTCCTTCGACCAATGCCAATTGCAAGGCGTGCTCAGCCTCCTTGAGGAAAAGGCGCGTGAGCTGTTTCTGCCCTCGGCGGTACACTATGCTACACCAACTGTTTCTGCTCAGTTTTCTGCAAGATGAATGGTGCAAGGAATTTGGCAGTTCATATCTACTCCCTCCATTTCATATTAAAAAATGAACGAATGTAGACATAAAGCATGTCTACATTAAATCCTTTTTCATTGTATCAAGAAAGTCATATTAGACAGTTAATATGGAACAGAGGGAGTAGTGTTTGAGCGAAATTGGCACTCATAGGAGTAAATGGCAAGAAAAAAAGGACTTTACACACAACATACCCTTCGTTGTCAACTGAGTCATCATCTAAGGAGCAGCAGCCTCTGTGTAGTAATTCGGTGTCATTGTCCTCGCTCCCAGAACCCTCTTCAAGATCCATCATCCTAGCACAGGTACAATCATAAAGATGAAAGACATATATTAGCCAAAGAGGTCGAAATGGTAAAATATACATACTTTACAGTCAGCCACTAAAATATATGATACGGAGTAGTCTGCAATTTTAGCTTTGGCCATGAATGTAGTTTGAAAGCATGGGGAAATTACTTCATATGAAGTAGATCAACAAGCATTTGCAAGGCTCCAGAATCGCCACACGCTTCCCAAATTGCTGCTCGAACTTCCGCATCAGATGGTTGGCTATCACTTCCAGGTGAAGCAAGCTTTGTAAGAAACAAGCACTTGATTAATTTAAACACCACTCAACTATACTCCCTCCGTCCCAAAAAAAAGACTCACTTTGACTTGGCACAAAGTTTAAGGAAAGTGAAAATGTGTGGTTGAAAGTAATGCAGAAGAGAGAGAAAGAGTGTGAGTCTTCTTCTTACTACACCATCAAAGGTAAAAACTAAAAGTCAAATATTTTTTCATCTTACATTAAAAAGGTGTGCCATGTAAAAAGCGAGAAGATATAAGATGGATGGAGTAATTGAAAAGCAAACACCCCTCCGAGTCCATTCAAAGCATTCGTCACAAGATCATACCTCACTAAATAGTGAACTAAGAGCAATAAAGAGAGAAAACAAACCTCACTAAGTAGTGATGTGACCTTATACAGCTCGTCTTCTTTCATTGCGATAGTTCTCAAGGCAGTCATAAATTCTTCAGGGAAAACAAGCCTATTCAAGTAAGAAGGAATCTTGCGCTCGCCGCTCCAACTATAGTTTTTCATTTGATTACTCGGCTGTTTATCATGGCTTTCTGTTTGAGGCATGCATGGAGGAAAAAAACCGTTTTCCAACAAATTTCTTGGTAACAAACACCTCATCTCCGCTTTCTGATGACACGTAGAGAGTTCTTTACGACATTATGATGCAGGTAAATATTAAGACGATAGAGAGAAGGGGTAGTAAATGTCTTCATTGTGCTCGAAAAATCACACCAAAAAAAACTATTCCCTCCGCCCACAAAAAAAGTCCAATTTCAGAAAGATACAGGTTTTAAATTCTATGAAGGTACAACAATTGGAAATCCTCAAATACTACATTTTAACCTTTACTTTGTAACTTAACAAAATATAACCCACTTGAATTGACTAAGACACTTTTTTAGATAAAAAAAGATCATCAAAATTATTTTCTCTTGTTCATATAGGACTCTTTTCTAGGAAAAAAATAGTTGATGCCTTGATGGGATGTTTCTAAACGGGAATCTTTTTTTTTTATGAATGGGGTGCACAAAGTTTGAATGTCGTATTAGATGTTTTCAAAACATTGATTGCCTGTGCTTGTAGGAGCTGCGATTTGGACTCGGAGTAAGGTATGTCCTGAATGGCCTCCACGGGGTAATTAACCTACATTGTAAAAGCTGAATGTCAAACTAATACACATTGTTTCAATACTTCACATATATGCCTCAGCAGAGCAAGCTGACTAAGACAAGGGTCTGAGTGGCTGACAACTGCTATTCAGATCAATCAGTTTCCTTTTCATTGAGAGTTTGGGCAAAGATCCATCTATGACTGAGAACTATAAAGAAACTTTTCTGAAATAAAGCAAACTTGAGAGGGTTACCATGAGATAGTCATCTGGATTATCTTCCGTTACAAATCCATACAGGTACAGGAGCTCCTGCAACAAAATCCATGGCTTAATTGTTTGCTAATCAAGATTTATTCAAAATGTAAATCTGATCCGAAACTTGAAAACTAAATAATATGTATACGTCATTAATTCTATCGACAGAAAAATAATCACTGTTGTACATGGAAGATAATCACAGACGTATGCATTTTGAATCCCCAACACTAGACTGGAAGGACAAACCCACAATCAAAAACAAAACCCAATATAATTCAACTCTGTTGGGGTTTAGAAGTTAAGATGTATGCAGCCTTACCCCTATTAAAGCAGAGGGCTTGTTTCCATTAGAGTTCCACATTCATAGAAAAATAATTACTCTCCCTGTCTCATTTTATTTTGCACATTTGACTTTTCTTGGTCAAACTTTGCAAACTTTGATTGGGTTTTGTAGGTAAAATACATTTACGTTAATTTAATACCACTAGATTCATTTGTGTTTTGAAGTACCATTTTTTATTATACTCCCTCTGTCCTGTTGTGTTTGTCCACTTCTCTTTTTTGGGTTGTCCCAATGTATTTCTCCATTTTCTTTATATGGGATATGAGTATAGGATTAGTTTACCATTTAGCCCCAACTATATTACATTTAATCCTCCTCAACCAAACCTGTTCTTTTTTTCTATATGTGCAAAAAAGCAAGGGTATAATGATCATTTCTCCAATTTATTTCTTTCTCCCTTGTCTACGTGCAACAAGCAAAGTGGACGAAGACACCGGGACGGAGAGAGTATTTATCTATGTATAAATATAGTTATAAACGGTTAAAGTAGTACATTGAACAATCTGAAAAGTCATATAGGCAAAGTAAATTGAGACGGAGGGAGTATCCTCTATCTTTAGCTAGTTTGAAGTGCTACAGTCCCCCTCAAACTGAGAAAAGACACGCTTAAGTGATATAACGTTTCTTTCTATCTTCCTGCCAATGCAATGACTATCAATCTTGACAAGTTTCGTCCTATCATGATGGATTGGCAATTGTTTCTGCCCACCGATTATCACATTACATCATTATAGGAACTGAAATGCAGATCTTTAGTTGAGTTGGACACTGCTTTAACCAGATTTCTTCACAAAAACCTTGAGCTAAAACTCAGAATTCTGCTTCGGCACCAGCTGCTTTTTACGATAAAGACCCTGAGGTTGATCTTCAATGAATCAGAGATCCAGCCTAATCTGAATTCTGAATCTGCATAGACTTCTAAGGAAAGCCCAAAGTTTTTTTTTTGTTGAGAATTAACCCTTTTCCAGGATCTTACTTGAGAAGTTAAGATGCCTAATGATTAGGTGCACTGCCTCCAGCTGCTCTTGTGATGCATTACTCGGAAATTGACTAACACTTACTGCAAAACTTATATTGTCCTTTATCCACTGTAATTCTGATAAGTTTAAAGAATCCAAATTGCATTAAATCCTTCAATATAGGATTTGTTAAATAAAAAAACAAGCTAATCACACGTCCATTGCCCATGGAGGTATAAGAACCATAGCTTTGGGTAAATAATGGACTAAATCAAAATGGCAAATTGAATTTAGTTTGCTTCTCACTTTCTATGAAGTTTTGGGTAGTAAATGCAACAAGAGTCTACCTTAAGGCTTAATAAATCCATAGGCAATAAAAAGTCCATTTGTACCTAGCTTTATTCTTTCAAGGTGTAGTCAGGAACCATATGTTATTCTTCTCAAGGGCATTATATTCTTTTAACGTAGCCACTTTCAATTCATGGAATTTTAACTGTTCATGAATTGTTTTGGCCTTTATGGGATCTGAATTCCATCTTCAACAGTAAGGAACGGCCTGTATTACTGAGAGAAATTTGTGCATGTCCTGTAATTGCTCATATGATGCAAAATACATGAACAAACACCCTTCCTTACTTTCTTTGAGCAATGTGAATGTCTAGTTCCTAATTATACTCAGTAACTTTCTTAAAATCATATTTTGATTTAGATGAGCAGGTGTATCAAATGAGACCTCTTCAGCACATGGTGAGCTAGATGACTTAAATGGCTGAACCTTTAGCTGGTACATGTGGACTGGATGATGATGGTGATCTTGATCAGGTATGATAGAGAGGATTGAGTTAAGTCACATAAAAATGAGTTAATAAGAGAAGTCCAGTCCCTGTTTTGTGATTCATTTGTGTTACTCAGCCGACATTTCACAAAAGGCTGTATGGCCAAAAACATGAATGTGAGTTGATCAAAAAGCAAGAAGTGTTTGAATTGTGGAAAGTGGAAACATTTAAGATTTGTTTGGATTGAAGGCGCAAGTGGATGGAAATTGTAAAATTTTATGAAAGTGTGTTAAAAAGTTTTTGTGTAACAATTTTTCTACAAGACCACCTTCCATTTTATTCTTTTCAAATTCTAAAGGGAAAAGAAACCTGCAGTCAGAAATCTGCATTATCTATAGTTATTCTGCATCACTTGCAGCTTTGCTGTTACAACTGCCACTCTATGTCAAAATCATACGGAGTATATACCCACAAGTAGATGACATACTCGATGGACTGAGTAAATTTAGAGGTGGCTATGAAAAGGCTAATGTTTGTTCTTCAACGATGCTATCCACACATGGACTGGGGAAATTTTAGAGGAAAAATGAAAAAAAAGAATATGATAGAAGGGAATCAAGAATAGACAAAGACTAAGATGTAATAAGAACTTCCCCTTGGTTTTTTTAACAAATTAGTCCGTTACTTTTAGAGTTTTTAAACATTCAAACCCATCTCATTTCTAAAAATCACATGGTTGTCTCCCAAGTGTGCCCACATGTCCCAATATTTCAAAAATAATGATACTTTTCAAGTGGTCCACCAAAGTAAGTTACTTTACGTGCTTGCCACTTTTGAAGTGTTTGTGCTTCATAGCCTCATAGGTAGTGAATTGTTTGGGCCACTCGGAGCTATTCCATTAATGGTTATGGTAGCACGCTTTGACACTTTTGAATAGTTTTGTTGGAGACGATCCCCACACACCTCCAAGTTTCAACAGCCTTTTTGAGAAGTATTATTCTTTGTCTTGCTAGACATAGGATGTGGTTTTACAAAAATTTACCATGACCATTTTTCTTGAACTTATCCTAACTATTGGACTTGTTCTTGCCTACATTGTTGCACTTCACCTTTCTTGGTTGGAACATTGATGATCTTCTAGTCATTTGGTGTATCAGTCGCACCAAGTAGATCTTTGAAACCATGTCCCAACTCAGCTTCAGGTCATGGTTGTATTCCGGAAATGAAGAAAAGCTCATCTAGTTCACCCATATCCAGTTTATCCGACAAAAGCAAGATGAACCCCATCACTTGACGTGATATGATTTGTTTGCATATATATTTCTGAAAAATTGTGAGTAGAATATCAACCCCTCTATCACAATTTATAGCTCTGCCACTAAACCCATACATGTATCCAAATCAACCACCTTCTGCTTCATAACCAGAAGCCTGGAAATAGGATGAGGTTCTGGAAAATTAATACTCGCTCTGTCCCAAAATTATCGCCTCACTTTGAACAACATGCACAATCACATCTCTTTTAAAACTATTTTGTTTACAAATTGGTATGGAAATAAAATGTACAAATTATAAATATTTAAAAACTACATCAAAAGTTCTACAAAACAAAAAGTGACAAGAATATTTTATTTTATCATATGATCTACTAAAACATGCAAACTAAAAGTTATCAGGAGGCCAGAATAGTAACTTTGACAATAATCCTGGGACAGAAGTACTAAAGAAAATGTAAGCTACCAAAAGTTTAAAGAATAGAATACCTCATTCCCTTTGTTTCCATAGCTAATTAATATCTCATTATCACTTTTGAAAGGAGCTTCTTCAACTTTGGATTCGGACATAAAATAACATAATTGAGAAAGATGTCATCAGCAAAAGAAAACCAGTGTAGGACCTCAGGCGCTACCAACTCTTCTAAAACCAATTGGTGTTAGAAGAAGCGCATACCCTATCCTTACAGGCAAGGCTAACAACCAGTACATCAACAATTGCTTAAACTAATTTATCATCTGAAATTTTTTTTAAAAAATGATAAGGAGTACTAACAATCAAAGAAAAAAATTAACAAAATAAAAAAAAAGGGCAATACCTGAAGAAAGGTACATAGAATGCGGAACTCCAGTTGTCATTCCAGTTCTACCAACTTCCCATGTCGCGTTGGGCCTTACACCTGAGCATAATTACCATTTAGCATAGCAAATCATAAGCATGTGAATTTTTGAAACCCAGATTATACATATTGAACAGCTATAAGCAGCTCACAACGAAGGAAACAATAGTGATTTCCTAAATTAGTGAAACTGTAAGAAACAACACTAT